CGAGACGTTCCTGTGTACTCTATGCCCTGTTGAATTATGAGTTTTCCACTCTGGTTGGTGGATGCAGGCACTATTTTCAAAAGCTCCATGTGAGTGTCAGGACCTGTTCCCTCCAATCCATTCGGATGGTTCTTTTCCTGGCCTTAGGTAGCTGCCTCATACGCATGTGTCGGTAAGTACTCTGCTAAATACTGAGGGGCAACCCTCTGCAGATCTCTGCGATTCTCTGTGCTCCTCTATCCTGACATTCTGTCCTTTTAACTACAGCTGCCCATGTCTCTCTGGACCACCTCGACTTAGGGAGTCCACCAGGCGCTGCCTCAGTTTCCCCTTCCAGTGCCATAGCATGGAAGCTCTCCAGGCAGTGTGCTGGGACAATTGTAGTGTTCACCTTGTTTCCCATCTTACAGGGATCACTGTCCTTTGGTGCCTGATGTCTAATGTCTTAAAAATCATTGTTTCGGCCGGGCGCAGTGGCTCACACCTAGTCCCAGCACTTTAGGAGGCTGAGGCGGGCAGAATACCTGAGGTCAGGAGTCCAAGACCAGCCTGGCCAACATGGTGAAACCCCATCTCTACTAATACAAAAATTAGCCGGGCATGGTGGCAAGGCGCCTGTAACCCCAGCTACTCAGGAGGCTGAAGCAGGAGAATCACTTGAACCTGGGAGGCAGAGGTTGCAGTGAGCCGAGATCTTGCCATTGCAAGATTGTGCCTGGGCGACAAAGTGAGAGTCCGTCAAAAAAAAAAAAGAAAATTATTGTTTCATGTATTTTGTTTTTTTGTGGGGGGCAAAGTTGGTTGTTTCCTGTGAGAGGGCAAATCTGATCCCTGTTATTCCACTTTGACAGAGTGCATGACACCTTTTTTTCTTGTAGAGACAGGGACTTGCCCAGACTGCTCTCAAACTCCTAGCCTCAAGGAATCCTCCCACCTCAGCTTCCCAAAGTGCTGAGATTACAGGCATGAGCCACCATGCCCAGCCCATGATAACTTTCGACAGTGGGACCAACAGAATTTGCCAATGAAAATGTAGGGGAATCAGCTGGGCGTGGTGGCTCACGCCTGTAATCCCAGCACTTTGGGAGGTCGAGGCAGGTGGATCGCCCAAGGTCAGGAGTTCGAGACCAGCCTGACCAAGATGGCGAAACCCCGCCTCTACTAAAAATACAAAAATTAGCTGGGTGTAGTGGTGGGAGCCTGTAATCCTAGCTACTTGAGAGGCTGAGGCAGGTGAATCGTTTGAACCCAGAAGGCAGAGGTTGCAATGAGCCGAGACCACGCCATTGCACTCCAGCCTGGGCAACAGAGCAAGGCTCCATCTCAAAAAAAAAAAAAAAAAAAGAAAGAAAGAAAGAAAGAAAAGAAAGAAAAAGAAAACATAGGGGAATTAAGCATGATATATCTGCTCTTTGACTCAAGTGACAAAATGTATTTTTATTTTTATTCTTTTTTTTTTTTTAGATGGAGCGTTGCTCTGTCACCCAGGCTAGAGTGCAGTGGTGCAATCTCAGCTCACTGCAACCTCTGCCTCCCGGGTTCAAGCGATTCTTCCACCTCAGCCTCCTTAGTAGCTGTGATTACAGGCACGCACCACCACACCCAGCTAATTTTTGTATTTTTAGTAGAGATGGGGTTTCACCGTGTTGGCCAGGCTGCTCTCAACTCCTGACCTCAAGTGATCCACCCACCTCGCCCACCCAAAGTGCTGGGATTACAGGCGTGAGCCACCACACCTGGCTACAAACTGCATTGTGATGCCATTGGTTGAGATAAAGGAGACAGTGGGGGAGCATCTGAGTAAGGGAAATTGGATAAATCTGTTTGGATGGATAAGCAGTATGCGACACCCACATGAACGTCAAACAGGTCATTGCAGTACGTTTGTGTCTGGTGTTCCAGAGAAAGGTCTAAGCTGAAGGCCTAGAGGATCTTCCAAATATTTGCAATAATTAAGGCAATGGGAGAAGAGGCAGTCACTTAGGAAGAGAGGATCAGACAGGATTATACCCAAGGATATTCTAATACTTGGAAGTTTGATACAAGTGGAGTAGCCAGAGATGGAGAAAAAAAAAAAAAAAAAAAACAAGAGAGGCCTGGCATGATGGCTCATGCCTGTAATCGCAGCACTTTGGGAGGCCGAGACGGGTGGATCACGAGGTCAGGAGTTCCAGACCAGCCTGACCAACATGGTGAAACCTCGTCCCTACTAAAAATACAGAATTAGCTGGGCGTGGTGGTGCGTGCCTATAATCCCAACTACTCAGGAAGCTGAGGCAGGAGAATCGCTTGAATCTGGGAGGCAGAGGTTGCAGTGAGCCGAGATCGCGCCACTGCACTCTAGCCTGGGTGACAAGAGTGAGACTCCGTCTCAAAAAAAAAAAAAAAAAAAGAATTAGCTGGGCATGGTGGCGCATGCCTGTAATCCCAGCTACTCGGGAGGCTAAGGCAGGAGAATCACTTGAACCCAAGAAGCAAAAGTTGCAGTGAGCCGAGATCGTGCCACTGCACTCCAGCCTAGGTGACAGAGTGAGACTCCATCTTAAAAAAAAAAAAAAAGAAAGAAAGAAAGAAAAAGAAAAACCAAGACAGTGAGAGGAATTGTGGGTTTCACTAGAAAGTCACAGGAAAGGGCAGAGAATTGATTGCTGGTTTGGCAAATTATGCATCAGTGGTCTGGTTAAGAGCAGTCCCAAAAACATGGGAGTGACACACACCAAACTGAATTGAGTTGAATATGGTCTGGGACATGAGGAAGTGGAATCTGAAGAAAGCCAGATGACTGGCCTTGTTGAGCACAGTAGGGGAATCATGCCAAGGGGAGTATATAGGGCCAAAATTCACAAGTAAATATGTCCATGGGAATTAACAACACAGTATCTGAAACAACCTAGGCAGCCATCAGTTGGGGAAGGGCTGAACAATGCTACGTAATATCATGAACCAGTTGAAAAGATGTTCTTATATATTAATATATGAAGAAACAGAAGCATCAAAACAATACTTCAAAAAAAGTAAAGGATGGAGGAATTGCATCAATGTGAAACCCTGATTGTATTAAAAGAATGAGATTTCTCTGTATTTTTTCATTTTTTTTCTTTAATACTCAGTCTCCACAGACTCAAAAATTGCCATTGCCGACTATATTGCAAGTCTTCAGGGTGGGGTACTGGGAAAAGTTTCCAATTAGCAATAACCATATGTTGGCTAAACCTCATCGGCTATGATAATGCCACTGCAAAAAGCGTATTTCTTTTTTTCAAGAATATTCTTTTTTTTTTTTTTTTTTTGGAGACAGGGTTTCCCTCTGTTGCCCAGGCTGGAGTGCAGTGGTGCGATCTTGGCTCACTGCAACCTCTGCCTTCTGGGTTCCAACGATTCTCCTGCCTCAGCCTCCCAAGTAGCTGGGATTTACAGGCGCCCACCACCATGCCCGGCTAATTTTTTGTATTTTAGTAAAGAGGAGGTTTCACCATGTTGCCCAGGGTGGTCTCAAACCCCTGAGCTCAGGCAATCCACCTGCCTTGGCCTCCCAAAGTGCTGGGATTACAGGCATGCACCACCATGCCTGGTCCTTTTATTTTTTTTTTTTTTGAGACGGGAGTTTCACTCTTGTCACCCAGGCTGGAGTGCAATGGCAGGATCTGGGCTCGCTGTAACCTGCCTCCTAGGTTCAAGCGATTCTTCTGCCTCAGCCTCCCCAGTAGCTAGGATTACAGGCACGTGTCACCATGCTCGGCTAATTTTTTTTTTTTTTTTGAGACAGAGTCTCACTCTATTACCCAGGCTGGAGTGCAGTGGTGTGATCTCCGCTCACTGCAACCTCTGCCTCCCGGGTTCAAGTGATTCTCCTGCCTCAGCCTCCCGAGTAGCTGGGACTACAGGTGTGCACCACAATGTCTGGCTAATTTTTTGTATTTTTAGTAGAGATGGGGTTTCACCATGCTGGCAAGGCTGATCTCGAACTCCTAACTTCATGATCTGCCTGCCTCGGCCTCCCAGAGTGCTGGGATTACAGGCGTTAGCCACCGCGCCCAGCCTATTTATTATTTCTTAACGTAAAGTTTAATTAAAAATCCTTCCAGCCGCATGCAGTGGCTCACGCCTGTAATCCCAACACTTTGGGAGGCTGAGGCAGGCAGATCACCTGAGGTCGGGAGTTCGAGACCAGACTGATCAACATGGAGAAACGCCATCTCTACTAAAAATACAAAATTAGCTGGGCGTGGTGGCACATGCCTGTAATCCCAGCTACTTGGGAGGCTGAGGCAGGAGAATCCCTTGAACCTGGGAGGCGGAGGTTGTGGTGAGCCGCCAGATCACGCTAATTGCACTCCAGCCTGGGCCAAAAGAGCCAAACTCTGTCTCAAAAAAAAAAAAAAAAAAAATTCCTTCCAGTATGCACATAATTTGAGGCTTTTTTTTTTTTTTAAAGCTTTATCGTAGGTAGGATCTCTTTTTTTTTTTTTTTTTTTCTTAACCCAAAGTATTAATACCTTTTACCATCAAAAAGCTATTTTGTATTTTGTAAAAATAAAAGCAGAGTCCGGGCGTGGTGGCTCAAGCCTGTAATCCCAGTACTTTGGGAGGCCGAGGCGGGTGGATCACCTGAGGTCAGGAGTTCGAGACCAGCCTGAGCAATACGGTGAAACCCCGTCTCTACTAAAAATACAAAAATTAGCTGGGCGTGGTGGCGCATGCCTGCAATCCCAGCTACTCCGGAGGCTGAGGCAGGATAACCGTTTGAACCCGGGAGGCGGAGGTTGCAATGAGCCAAGAACCCGAGTCTGTCTCAGAAAACAAAACTAAACAAAACACAAAAGACAAAACTCGGGGCTGGCGGGGGCGGGGGCAGGGGGTGGGGAGAAAGAAAGCGAAATCTGTTCCTTGGCTTCCCGGAGCCAAGGTTTCACCACTTTCGAGGTCTCCAGGTCCGCAGCCGCCTGTAGCCCCCGGCACCGCCCCTTTGGAAGCCTGGGAGGACTGTGTGTTGCGAACGGGGGTGGATACTCTCCGTCGCCGCGGAGGTCCACATCTTGTTCGCAGGGAAGGTTTACTCCCCCATCGTGGGTGACCGAGGGACTGAGGGCTCGGCCGGTTTCGCTCTGCTGGGGGCAAGGCACGCTGTCTCTCCCCACCCTTCCCGGTTCCCTCAGACAGTCTCGGCCTTGAGGAACACCCTTCGCCTCCGGTCCCGCAGCCGACCTTCCTCCGCTCCCCACGCCCTCCCCGGAGGACCCCGCTGTCACTCGCGATGCTCCGAAGACCCGGGAACTGGGCGAGGAAGGAGGTGGCTGCCTTTTTCCAGCTGGGGTGAGTCATTTCCTGCGACAGGCTCCCTCCCCCGGAAGTAGGGCCCGATGTAAACACCCGAGCCGGGCTCCAAGGCCCGGGAGGTCAGAAAACCGGGCCGCGGGCGGCACCGACAGCTGGGGCCCGGGTCAGGGACACGCGGAGGTCAGGCCGGTGAAGGCGGCAGGAAGCTGGAGCACGATCCCAGGGTTGGTTGGGGTCTGGGGGAGGCTGGGAGTCTTTCGAGTAGGGGTCTAAGGCAGAGGTCTTGAGTGGGTGCTGGCGTTGGAGGGAGCATGCGGCTGGTCTTGGGAGAGGGGCGAGGCATCCCGGACAGAGTTTGGGGTGGTGCGGGCATTTGGAATGGAGGTGCAAAAAAGGGGTCTTGAAAGTTGGAGCTGTCCAGAGAATAACTCTAAGGCAGAGCTGTCCAAAGAAAGAGCATGAGGCATTCCAGTGGAGGGTGTAACTGAAAGAAAGGAAGATTTGGGCTCTTGGAGGATGGGGAGGGAGCGTGTCTGGCCAGAGGTCTTGGGGAGTTGAGGGTTTGAAGGGAAGTTGGGGGCTCTATGGCAGTAATCTTAGTAGGGGACTGTGCAGGCATCTTAGGGGTTGAGGTTCTCCTAGGTAGGAGTTTTGGGTGGTTTGTTTTGGGCAAGCGTCTTAGAGGGTAAGGGTGCCCTGAGGCAGGGTCTTGGATAGGGGTCTAGAAGGGAATCTTAGGAGGATGGGTGGGGTTCCTGGGGTTGGGTCCAGGCCAGGTTATGTTGTAGTCAAGGACAGCAGAACACAAGGAAGGAGATGTCCTGGGGTGGAAAATTTAGAGTGCTAGGGGGAATCCTAGGGTAGAGGGCATAAGCCAATCTAGGGAAGTGTCTAGGCTGGCCCTGATGGGTAGTTACCAAGGCATGAGAAGGGGTCATCCCAAGGTAGGCATCCTGAAGGGGTTTGGGGAAGCTGGTGAGGGGGAAAGGTGTGAAGAGGACTCTGGGGTGGTCGAATAGGGTTGGGGTAGAGTTAGAAGGGTAGGAGCAGAGGAGTTCCTGGGGATGGCAGACCAAGCATAGCAGTCTCAGGGCCAAGTCGGGGAGGTACAAGTGGATCTCCTAGCCCACTTTTGTCTATTTATTGACAGAGTCTGGTGCTAGGTCAGGTGTGAAGATGAGAAATGGGGTGGGAGTGGTTCCAGGCCATGTCTGGCATTGGGATCAAGATTGGCTGGGGGTGGGGAAGATATCACGGGGGCACCCCCTATCACATTACTTCCTGACAAGTCAGTGAGGGCCAGCATGTAAAAAGGAGGTGTGGGGTCCACGTCAGTGTGGGCCTGGAGCTTGCCAAACCTGAAAGAGGGAGGGTTCCTGGCCATGCTGCTTGGGATCTTGGGAGCTTAGAGCAGAGACCCTGAGACTCTCTCTGTTTTTATCTTTTTTTTTCCCCTGAGACGGAGTCTCACTCTGTCACCCAGGCTGGAATGCAATAACTCGATTTCGGCTCACTGCAACCTCTGCCTCCTGGGTTCAAGTGATTCTCCTGCCTCAGCCTCCTGAGTAGCTGGGATTATAGGTGTGCCCCACTACACCTGGGTAATTTTTTATTTTTACTAGAGACGGGATTTCACCATGTTGGCCAGGCTGATCTAACTCCTGACCTCAGGTGATCCACCCGCCTCGGCCTCCCAAAGTGCTGGGATTACAGGCATGAGCCACCACACCCAGCCTGTTTTTATCTTTTTTGCAGTCAGTCCAGAGTCAGTAGTTAGCAGAGTGGGAGGAGGAGGAAATCAGGTGAGGCAGAACTTGGAGGGGAGACTCCAGGACTCTTCTCATCTTTATCCCATTTGTATCCAGGGGAACAATCCTGGACCATGACTCAACAGCCACTTCGAGGAGTGACCAGCCTGCGTTTCAACCAAGACCAAAGTGAGAGAGGCTTGGGCCTGTACCCTTGTGGGAGGGAGCAAGGGAAAGAGGGGTCAGAAGTGGGCCATGGGCCCCCAGCTTCCTACCTGGGCATTCTTTAAGGCAGTCTGGATTCCTTCCATCCCCCAGGCTGCTTTTGTTGCGCCATGGAGACAGGTGTGCGCATCTACAACGTGGAGCCCTTGATGGAGAAGGGGCATCTGGGTGAGCTGTTGGCAGGGGAGGGGCAATGGGCAGAAGAGCTGGGCTGGGCATTGGTTCCTACCTCCACTGACACCCTGGTCCCTGTCCAGACCACGAGCAAGTGGGCAGCATGGGCTTGGTGGAGATGCTGCACCGCTCCAACCTTCTGGCCTTGGTGGGCGGTGGTAGTAGCCCTAAGTTCTCAGAGATCTCAGGTAAGTGCCCTCATCCTGCCCTTTGGCCCAGATTTCTCGGATTCCTGGCCTCCCACAGGCACCCCAAGGTACTGGCAGATGAAGATGTCAGAGTACTTCAGAGTCACACAGTGAGGAGGCCTACAGCTTGGAAGTCATGGATCTTATAGCTTGAGAAGCTTGGTGCTTTGTTTTCATTTTTAAAATGCTGATTGAGTGCCTCCTGTGTGCCATGCCCTAGAGCACTTACTGTGAGCCTGGTACTGCCCTAAGCACTTTACATATATTAACTCATTTAATCCTCACAGTAACTCTATGGGGTAGGAAGGATCGTTATCCCCATTTTTACCAATGAGGAAACTGAGGCCCAGTGCAGTTAAGTGACTCATCCAAGGTCACACAAGCAATAGGTTTTAAAATCTTGGAGCCGTCTTCCCAATACCCACTTGGCTTGAGCCTCAAGTGCCATCTTGCTTTAAGGATTTTTCTTGCTCATCCCCTCTGGACAGGGCAGGAGTCACCCTAGGTGAGTCACAGAGCCCTAGGATTCCTCACAGAAATCTCCAGGGTGCATGGACTAGGACCCTGGAGGCAGAAATAGTTACCCAGGGGAAGTTACAGGTCTGAGTGTGAGTCCCTGTTTGGTTGCTGATGGGCTTTGAGGTCCTTGGCCAGCACTCAACCACTTTGAACCTCAGTTTCCTCATCTGTAGATGAGTGTAATAGTCTAGAACACTCCTCTCAGGGATCATGTCCACAAGTGCTCGTACTGTGCGAGGATCTCACTGGGTGTTTATTGAAAGGCTAAGTAAGTAGGTTGAGGTCCCTAGGAAGCAGGGGTGGATCCTGTGTCACCAGGGCTGCCCCTTACCCTAAACCTTGGCCCCGACAACCCACCCACCTGCCCAGCAGTGCTGATCTGGGACGATGCCCGGGAGGGCAAGGACTCCAAGGAGAAGCTGGTGCTGGAGTTCACCTTCACCAAGCCAGTGCTTTCTGTGCGCATGCGCCATGACAAGTGAGCCTGAGGAGGACGGGGGTGGGAGGTAGGAAGTCCCCACAGCAAGTGAGAGGGATAGTCCTCCCTGGGCATCCCGCCGCCCCCTCACGGCCATCCTGTGTTGTGTGATACCCACAGGATCGTGATCGTGCTGAAGAACCGCATCTATGTGTACTCCTTCCCTGACAATCCCCGAAAGCTGTTTGAGTTTGATACCCGGGACAACCCCAAGGGTGAGAGGGCTCAGATACACAGGTGTAAGGACATGAAACAGTGGATGGGACAGAGGGGCAGAGATGAGGAAAGAAAGGAAGGGGCACACACACACAGAGAAATGGGGAAAGAGGCAGGGAGATGCTCACACTCACAGCCTCTCCATCTTTCCAGCCCTCAGCCAGTTCTCCCCACCTCTGGCCCTGCCCCACCCCTGGGTGCCCCAGTGGCAGAGCAGAAACGTCTCATGAGGACATGGGTGGGTGTGTCAGGGATCCCTGAGCCTCCTGGGGCTGTTATAGCAGCTTACTAGATTCCACAGCTGCAGAGCAAGGAATGGAATCTGCCTAGCTGGCAGGGCATGCAGCTGAGGTGAGCCCCCTCAGGGTTCTTTGGGTTAAGCTTATCATGAAGGGTTGAAGTCTGGTCCTCATCCAGCTCTGTCCATTCTGAGATGCTGCCTCCTCTTCAGCCGCCCACCCACCCTCATCTTCACACCCTAGGGCTCTGTGACCTCTGCCCCAGCCTGGAGAAGCAACTGTTAGTGTTCCCGGGACACAAGTGTGGGAGTCTGCAACTTGTGGTGAGCCGTCCAGTGGACAAGGGTGGGAAGGTTGGTGGACTGGCTTTCCTTGTGGACTCTTGGCCCCTTCCCTCCATACCACCTCAACCTCAGACTCCTCCCTCCTACCCCAGGACCTGGCGAGCACAAAGCCTGGCACCTCGTCTGCTCCATTCACCATCAATGCACATCAGAGTGACATAGCCTGTGTGTCTCTAAACCAGCCAGGCACTGTAGTGGCCTCAGCCTCCCAGAAGGGTACCCTTATCCGCCTCTTTGACACACAATCCAAGGAGAAACTGGTGGAGCTGCGCCGAGGCACTGACCCTGCCACTCTCTACTGGTGAGCACAGGGTATGCATGGTGGGCTGGTGACCCCATACCACATGACATGTGGGCATCACTGCTGATCTGTCTTCTAGCATTAACTTCAGTCACGACTCCTCCTTCCTCTGCGCTTCCAGTGATAAGGGCACCGTCCATATCTTTGCTCTCAAGGATACCCGCCTCAACCGCCGCTCCGCGTGAGTACCCCCTCCCCACCCTACCGTGTCCCTCCCTGTCCCCCTGCCCGTTTACCATACCTGGGCTTAGCCAGTGCTGCCTGCAGGCTGGCTCGCGTGGGCAAGGTGGGGCCTATGATTGGGCAGTACGTGGACTCTCAGTGGAGCCTGGCGAGCTTCACTGTGCCTGCTGAGTCAGCTTGCATCTGCGCCTTCGGTCGCAATACTTCCAAGAACGTCAACTCTGTCATTGGTGAGTGGTAACAGCCCCTTGGTTGGGGGTACTGCATGGGGCAGAGGCCTGTAGGTTGGACCTGAAAGAATTTTAGGGCCACGTGAGGCTCAGCTTCATCTTCAGTAAGGGGGACAGCACTGGGCAAAGGCCTGGAGGCAGACCCTGGGTCCTGAGATGCCTGAGAGGATTGGAACCTGTGGCTGTGGCAGCCTCTGACCGTTTACCACTCCCCCTCCCCCAGCCATCTGCGTAGATGGGACCTTCCACAAATATGTCTTCACTCCTGATGGAAACTGCAACAGAGAGGCTTTCGACGTGTACCTTGACATCTGTGATGATGATGACTTTTAAGGACCCTGGGGGCTGTGCTAGGGACCTGCAGTGGCAGACTGCAGAGCTGAGCCTTGGCAGTGGGGCGTGCTTGGAAGCCACCAGCCAGCAAGCATTAATGGGGCCGGTGCCCACTTTCTACTCAGCAGGGCTATGTCTAAATAAAGAGCTCAATTCCCCCCAGCACTTCTTGATGACTGTGTGCCCCAAGGGCTAGGCCAGAGACCCAGGAAGGCAGCGACCCCTTGGGATCCCTAACTTGGAGGAAATTGCCAGGGACCCAGAGGGAGTGCCCTAATCCAACCTGGAGATTTTTTAAAAGCTTCCTAGGAAGAGATGATTTCCGATGTGATGAATACGAATAAAAGGCCCTTAATGGCATTTATGGCTTGACCTCAGGAGCGGGGCATGGAGTTTCCTGGAGAAATGTGACCCTTTTGGACGCTGACAGGAAGGAGGTGGAATCCAACTCGGATCCTTGTGACAGTCCCTCCTTTCTTATCTGTCTGGCTACTTTGTGCTTGAGCCGCTGGCACCGCCCGGAGCAGCCCCTGCGGCGCCCCGCGCGGGGGTGGATAGCAGTTTTAAGGGTTGGGAGCGTCTAGCGCGGCGGCCAAGGCTTGATTTCCCGGCAGCCTTTGCTGCTTTTCTGAGCGGCGTATTAGTTGTTTTTCCGGTCACGTGCATCACCGCCCCTGCGCAATCCACCTAGGATGTTAGGAAAAAGCTGCCCAGCCCAGACTCCATTTCCCGGTGTGCCCCGCGGTGGCGAGGGGCGTGACGGTTGTTGTAGTCCGGCCCCCTCCTGGCTGGTCCAGCCACATTAACCGGCAGGATGTCGGAGGTACGGCTGCCACCGCTACGCGCCCTGGACGACTTTGTTCTGGGGTCGGCGCGTCTGGCGGCTCCGGATCCATGCGACCCGCAGCGATGGTGCCACCGCGTCATCAACAACCTCCTCTACTACCAAACCAACTACCTTCTCTGCTTCGGCATCGGCCTCGCTCTTGCCGGGTGAGGGAGGGAGGCGCCGGTTGGCCGGGGACGTCTGCAGAGCGTGGGGGGGTAGACCCACAGGTCTTTGAGGACCAGGACAGGGAACCTGAGTGGGGATGCAAGGCCGGGAAGGGCGAAGTCAGTAGAGATGGACGGCCTGAGGGGCTTGGAAGGGAGACCTTGAAGGAGGTGGAGCCTGGTTATAAGGAGGGCCTCAGGGAGATGGAGCCTGGCTGATGAGGAGGGCCTGCGGGGGATGGGGGTCTAGAGGGAAGATCTGGGGAAGATGGAGACAAGTGTGGGACGGAAGAGGAAAGTGGGCTGGAAGGTGAACCGGAAAAAAAGGAGGGCCCAAAAGGGGGACGTGAGAGTACTTGAGGGATGTGGTGGGGGGGTAATGTGAATGATGGGGCCAGATTGAGGCCGACCCTGGAGTACTTAGGGCAGAGACCGGGAAATAGACGGTAAAGTTGGAGGGTTTGGAAGATGTATTTATTGGGGATCCGGTCTTGGAGGGGAGCCTGGCCATGACTGGAAGGCGTCAGGGGCAGGTACCTGTTGGGGAACTTGGGCCCAGGAGGACGATCCATGGTTGGAAAGCGTGAGACCAGAGAGGGATGGAGAATCTGGAGGAGGGACTTGAGCAGTGCTAGAAGTTCAGAGTGGGGCTGACAACCTAGAAGAGGTTCTAGCAATGATGGAGGGAGGAATCTATAGGGAAATGGGAGCCTGGAGGGGGCATTGGGAGGGGAGGAAGCCTGGAGGGGGCTCCTATAAGGACCCTAGGCTTGGGGAGAGGGTAATGTGTGGAGACAGGCCTGGAAGAGGGATTTGCAGGGGCTGGGGTTAAAGAGGGAGCTTGCGGGCAGGCTGATGAGGGGCCCTGTGTGGGTAGAGTCGGAAGGAAAGTCCAGAGAAGTGTTGGGAGCCCGGGGGTGTGGGGAGTCTTCTCTAGCTGGATGGGAGGGCCTGAAGTGGGGACTTGAGGAAGACAGGACAGTGGAATTGACAGGGAGGAAAGGAGGGGTCTACGGGGGTGAGTCGGGAGCCCTGGCAGATAGGCCTGCTGGAGACAGGGCTGGTGGGAGGATGTGCCGAGCTGGAGTGTCCGGAGACGGGATACCCTGGCTCTTGGGGCCCAGGGTGGGTGGTGGTCCCGGAGGCCGTCTCTCCGCCCGGCCGGCTAGCTTAGTTCCCTTGTACCCGCAGGTACGTGCGTCCGCTGCACACGCTTCTGAGCGCGCTGGTAGTGGCGGTGGCCCTCGGCATGCTGGTGTGGGCAGCTGAGACCCGCGCAGCTGTGCGCCGCTGCCGCCGCAGCCACCCTGCTGCCTGCCTGGCCGCAGTGCTTGCCGTCGGCCTCCTGGTTCTCTGGGTCGTGGGCGGCGCTTGCACCTTCCTGCTCAGCATCGCCGGGCCGGTGCTTCGTGAGTCTCCACTACCCCGAGATAGCCAGGAAAGCGGCCAGAACATGCTTAAGGCACCAGGCCAGCCCTGCCCCGGTCCCCGGGTTGAGAGGGGGCTGGGAAACCCGAGGGCCTGACCACGCCCCCGCTAAAAGCGCCTTCCCGGACTTCGTTCCCCCTTCTGGGAACACCCCTTTTATTATCGCCTTTCCCATCTCACTCCTGGTGTTAAGTGCCTTCCACTGGCCACGTCCCCGTTACCGGGCGCCTTCCCTGGCCGTGCCCACGTTGCCAAGCCAATTACTCGGCCACGCTTTCAGTATCTGAGGCGTCCTGGCCGCTCACCACTCGATTGGCCTGCCTGCGCGCCAATTCCCTTCGGTGGGCCCCGGTTGGCTGCAGGCTGAGGTCTATTCCACTGACCACCCCTCTCGGTGCCGCCCACAGTGATCCTGGTGCACGCCTCGTTGCGCCTGCGCAACCTTAAGAACAAGATTGAGAACAAGATCGAGAGCATTGGTCTCAAGCGGACGCCAATGGGCCTGCTACTAGAGGCGCTGGGACAAGAGCAAGAGGCTGGATCCTAGGCCCCTAGGATCTGTACTCAGGACCTGGAGAATACCACCCCACCCCCAGCCCATAATTGGGACCCAGAGCCCTTTCCCAGCACTTAAAACAGGAGCCTAGAGCCCCCTGCCCAAACAAAACAGGACATCTATGACCACCCTACCCCCACGCCAGCCCCAAACTAAGATATCCCTCACACCCAGCCCCCATAACCTAGGGACAAGAGTCTTCCCCAGCCCTGAACCTAGAACCAAGAGCCACCTACATCCAGCCCCAACACTGGGGCTTCAGGCCACAGCATCCATGGCCAATTTCAAATTGTGAACCCAGAGACACTCCCATCCACCCTTCTCCATGCTCAGCCCCAAACTGGGGCCTGAGGCAAAGCACTCTCAAATCTTGAATCCTGGACCAAAGCTTTTCCAGACCCTACCCTACCTTCCAACCCAGGTCAAGACATTGCCAAATCTTGAACTCAAAACCCAAGTGTTCCATGCCCCTGTGTGGATGGAGTTGGGTATCCTGACTGTTGGACCCCTGGTCCCAGGTGATCCCGACCCTCACCAGTCCCAGTTGCCTCCCTCCAGCTCTGCTTAGGGATTTTGCCCCTCACCCCAGTGTTCCACATCATTGACGACCAAGGGGTGAGGTGGGGACAGGCCTCAGCAGGGAATGGGGCATATATGTTAGTGTTGCTGCAACAATAAAGTCTGTTGCATCTCTCACGCCAATTTGAGCCTCCTGGGTAAAGTTCTTATACATTTCAAAGGACAGAAGTGGCCTTCTACTTTTCAATTCTGCTAGACTTTTCCTGAATATGCAGGCTGAAGAGGTGATCTCTGAGGCCCTTCCTTGAAACGTACCTCTGGATCAGCATTAAAGCACAGGGAAGGACAGGTGTGGTGGCTCATGCCTGTAATTCCAACACTTTGGGAGGCTGAGACTAGAGGATCACTTGAGGCTAGGAGTTTGAGACCAGCCTGGGCAATATAGCAAGACTCTCTCTCTACAAAAAAATTAAAATTTAGCTGGGCATGGTGGTGTGCTTTTGTAGTCCCAGCTACTTGGGAGGCTGTGGCAGGAGGATGGCTGGAGCCTAAGAGATAGAGGCTGCAGTGAGCTGATTGTGCCACTGCACTCCAACCTGGGCAACAGTGAGAACCTGTCTCAAAAAGCTGGGCATGGTAGCACTTTGGGAGGCTGAGGCAGGAAGACTGCTCAAGCCGAGGAGTCCCAGACTAACCTGGGCAACATAATGAGACCCCATCGCTACAATTTTTTTTTTTTTTTTTTTTGAGACAGAGTCTTGCTCTGTCACCCTGGCTGGAGTGCAGTGGCATGATCTCGGCTCACTGCAATCTCTGCCTCCTGGCTTCAAGTGATTCTCCTGCCTCAACCTCCCGAGTAGCTGGGATTATGGGCATGTGCCACCACGCCCAGCTAATTTTTTGTATTTTTAGTAGAGACGAGGTTTCACTGTGTTAGCCAGGATGATCTCAATCTCCTGACCTCGTGATCTGCCCACCTTGGCCTCCCAAAGTGCTAGGATTACAGGCGTGAGCCACCGCGCCCAGCCTACTTTTTTTTTTTAATTAGTGGGTATGGTGTGGTGCACAACTGTAGTTTCAGCTATTCAGGCAGCTGAGGTGGGAAGATTGAGTCCGGGAGGTCAAGGCTGCAGTGAGCCGTTATTGCGCCACTACATTTCAGCCTGGGCAACACAGTGAGACATTGTCTCAAAAAAAATAAATAAATAAAAACAATGCATAGGGAGGTTAAGGACAGAGTCTTTGTTATCATCATTTATATTACCAAGAGTTATTGTTTGAGGTTGGCTAGAAATCTGAGTGCAGACAGGCAAAGAAGTTGCCCCACATCACAAAGCAAGTAAAGTCAAAACAGATGACACTGCCGGGCGCGGTGGCTCAAGCCTGTAATCCCAGCACTTTGGGAGGCTGAGGCGGGCGGATCACAAGGTCAGGAGATCGAGACCACAGTGAAACCCCGTCTCTACTAAAAATACAAAAAATTAGCCGGGCGCGGTGGCGGGCGCCTGTAGTCCTAGCTACTCAGGAGGCTGAGGCAGGAGAATGGTGTGAACCCAGGAGGCGGAGCTTGCAGTGAGCCGAGATCGCGCCACTGCACTCCAGCCTGGGCAACAGCGTGAGACTCCATCTCAAAAAAAAAAAAAAAAAAAAAAAAAAAAAAAAAAAAACAGATGACACTATCACAGGCTATTCCCAAGGTATGTTTTTTTCCTGTAAAAATATATTATCTGGTCTTGACTAGAGGTGTGGGCCCTCAAGGTGAGGCAGATAAGAGCAGCAGCAACACATGGGTTCAGTTTACACATTTATTATACAAATCCCCTTCCAGTGTGGATAATGTCTTGGGCCCAGATCCACTGGTATAAAAAGAAAAGTTTAACACCAGGAAAAGGGGGTAGGGGAACCCCCAGCTCCGAAAGTCACAGACAGGTATCATAGAAAACACAATTTGTGTGGGTTTGCTTAAAAAGTGGTGGATGGGGGCTGGGTGCAGTGGTTCACAGCTGTAATCCCAGTGCTTTGGGAGGCCAATGTGGGCAGATCATGAGGTCAAGAGTTCAAGACCAACCTGGCCAATATGGTGAAACTTTGTCTCTACTAAGAATACAAAAATTAGCTGGGTGTGGTGGCGTGTGCCTGTAATCCCAGCTACTCAGGAGGATGAGGCAGGAGAACCCAGGAGGCGGAGGTTGCAGCGAGCTGAGATTGTGCCACTGCACTCCAGCCTGGCGACAGAGCAAGACTCCGTCTCGAGGAAAAGAAAAAAAAAGGGGGGGGTGGATGGAAGGAAAGCCAAGGAAGGTGTGAGTGGTGAGCGGCCCGTGGCCCGCAGCCTGTAGCCAGACCTCACCTGAGGATTTTACTGGCATCTACCGGTGCCAGGTCTGGTAGATGCCAGGTTCAACCCCCATAGGATCCCAGGACACGGCACACCTGATGGCTCTGCCCTTTGCCCCTCCTGTGGGGCCTCCTGACTGGGGGTGGTCAGGGCAGAGGCCATGGGCACAGACGGGGTTGGACTCCTTCAGGCATCCCACCCAGACTGCAGTCCTTCCAAGCGTGGGCAGAGAGCCCAATGCCCCAACAACTGCCCTGGCGATGCATGGCAGGGATTTCTGTTCACACCGGAGTCTCCTGGCTGCCCTAAATGGCCCTGAGACCTGATATGGTCCATTTTATGGAGGGGGTTACTGAATGGAACCCGGTTGGGCATGGGAACAGGAATGAACCCAACCAGATGAGATCAAGTTTCCCTTTTATAAAACGTCTAGTGTTGGAGGAAGACAGTGAATACCTAAGTCACAACTGTAAACATAAATGGATGAAGGGGCTTGGGGTCCCCATGACATTATCCTCTCTCTTTTAAGCTGGCTGAGGGCCCCCAGTCCCCAGCACAGTGTGAGAGAAGAAGCAGGGTGTCAGACACCTTCCTGGGCCTACGGGGAGCCAGGGGCCTTGGAAGATTAGGTTGGCGCACTGCACTCAGGACAGAGCAACCACACCCCAGGGCCCAGCGAGGTCAGCTATGTGCTCCCCAGATTGGAATCGTGCCCAAGCCAACAAGGGACATATCAGAAGGGGTCAGACCAGTGTCCCCGGGGTCTGGGTGTCAGAACTGGAGGACTGCTCCCCCTCTAGCGTCAGGTCACTTAAACGAGCGCTCAGCTCCGGGGGATACAGGAAGTCCGCGTAGTATCTTTAGAAGGGGTAGCAGGAATCCGGAGGACAGGGCGGGGAAGACAAGAAGAGGAAAAGACAGACAAGACACATAAAAAGAAAGGAAAAGAGGCTCGTTAAAGAGGTGGAGGCAGGCACAGGACAGCACTTTCAGGCTCCAGGGCATGGAGAAACAAGGAAGAAAACGGCAAGGGGCATGAGATGTCCCTTCCTCCCAGCACCCTGGCTTCAAGGCTCATCTTCAGCCTATAACTTGATAAAGAATTGCTGCTACCAGTGCCCAAGATCCCCTCCACCAGGACCCCATGGACTAATGCAGGTCATGTGCAGTAGTGACCCTGTGCCATCACGGCAGCTAGTTTCCTTATGGTCCAATGCATTAGCTATCATGACTAGCCACTCCCTGGCCTGGATATCTTCGCCATCTGCCTTAAGAGACCCCTACCCATCAGTAAAAGCACCCCCCATACCTGCCAGAGACAGGGGGCGCCGTGAAACTCCTCGAGTGTGGGAGTGGCGCTTGGCTGGGGGCCCCGTACAGCGCCTGGCCCACCTCATAGCAGCGGGCATGGAGGAAGGGTGGGTGTGGCGGGCCCACGGAAGGGAGCACAGGCCGGCGCTGGGGCCCCGCGGCCAGTCCCGAGTTCCGGATGTACCAGTCCCGCAGCCCCTCCAGAGCCAGGTTCTTGTGGCCACTTCGTTCACCAGCCGAGGGGATACGGGTGGGTGGGGGCATCCACAGCAGAGGGTTTGGATGCACCTCAGGACCCTCGGCAACCTCTGGGGGCAGGCCACAGGGCTTGGTGCGGGTGGCACGGGTGTGGGGGTCCTTGGTGCGGAGGAGGGGGCTGTTGCTGTCAGCTGCATACACAGGTGGTGGGCCGGGGAGCATGGTGAGGAGCCCATCCCGGCGGGAGAGGGGTCCTGGGACCTCAGCGGCAGGCAGCAGCTCCCCCCAGCCTACTCCACCACCACTGCGGGGCAGACCCCGGTCCAAGGAATAGTCCAAGAGGAAGTCCCCACACACAGGTGGGAGCCGGGGGGCACCTCGGGAGGCAGGGGCAGCTGAGCTAGGCCGGGCGGCCCGGGGAGGGTCTGGGGGGCCTGCTGTGCGGGAGGAGAAGGCAGAGGTTGGTTGGGGGCGCTCATACAGCACCTCACTGCTCTTGCAGACTGGGGGGCCAGAGGCAGAGGGAGCCAGAGGGGTGGGCGGGGAGCCAGCTCCCCCACCAGCAGCCCGGTCCACCAGCAGGGCCTCAGAGCTGTTGCTGCGGCGGGTGCGAGCTACGAAGAGGGAGGCGCGATCGGAGGCAGGGTCCGCCCGGGGGAAGCCCATCTGGGAGTCCTGGCTGCCGGACCACTGACGAGAATGAAGGCCTTCAGGTCTGAGGTGAGAGGCGAGGGTCATGGGAATAGGGTCAGAAAAATCAGGCAGAAGGCGTGCAGTGCCCTCCCTACCCCACCCCTTTCTGAGCCTTCACTTTCACATCTCCAAATGGGCCCAGGGTTGGAAGCTGTGTGTATAAAGGTGGCAGGTAGTGACATGTAAAGGGCGGCTTAGGTTCTGTCCTAGGCTAGGGGGTCGGGGGTAGAAATGCGTGGGGGAGGCCTGGCACTGTTAGCTCCAAGAGAGGTGTAAATCTGTGTAGGGACTCAGAGGAAAGGCTAGCAGAGTAGGTGCCGGGCAGGGGGCTCTTCCTAATCCAGCTGACCCCTCCCCATGCTAAGGCCCTTCTCACGGCTCCCACGGCCTCCAGGATTGAGTCCTAGGCCTTAGGGCCCACACGTAAAACCCTGCCTGAATTCTCTATCCAACCATATGTATGAACCACCCAAAGCTACCATCCCAACAGCCACCATTCACAGAATGCAAGCCGGGGACTTGGTTTTGTTCAGAGCCTGGGGAAAGTAGGCACTCTGTTTAAGAAGCAGAAGCAGAAGAGGACAATGGTTAAAAGCATGGACTCTAGAGTAAAACTTGCCTGGGCTCAAACTCCAGGACTTCAGTTTACTAACAAGTTACTTAACCTTTCTGTGCCTCATTTGCCTCATCTATAAAATGGGAATAACAATAGCACCCACCTCACAGGGATCTCATTATGATTGAATGAGTTGGTGCCACTAATTCCTAGCAGGTGGCAGGCACTCAGTATATGTTAACCAGAACTTATTATGTCCATGTTTTTCAAAGGCAGATACTATCATTTCCATTTCACAAATGAGGAGACTGATTCAGAAAAGGAGAATGGCTTGTCCAAAATGCACAGAAAAGCCCATACTCAAAACTTTGATGCTTCTGCCCCAAATCTCTACCCCATTATCCACCGAGATGCCTGCTCACTTTTAACTCCCAGCCTCCCATGTCCCACATCTTTTGTTTTTTTGTTTTGAGATGGAGTTTTGCTCTTGTCGCCCAGGCTGGAGTGCAAGGGCACAATCTTGATCTCAGCTCACTGCAACCTCTGCCTCCCAGGTTCAAGCGATTCTCCTGCCTCAGCCTCCCAAGTAGCTGAGATTACAGGTATGCCCCACCATACCCAGCTAATTTTTGTATTTTTAGTAGAGATGGGGTTTCACCATGTTGGTCAGGCTGGTCTTGAACCCCTGACCTCAAGTAACCCGCCCACCTCGGCCTCCCAAAGTGCTGGGATTACAAGCATGAGCCACCGCGCCCAGCGATCCCACACCTTTTGATAATGCCGTCCTCAAGCTTCCAGTGAGAACTAATGGTTCCCTCCCCTCTGATCCTCCAGGCCACCCTCAGATTCCCCTTACTTGCAGAGCTGGGGGCCAGCGCCCCGCGTGAGGACTGGGGTGGCAGGCACACTTCGCCCCTCAAAACTGGAGGCACTCCTGGGCAGCGAGCGTGTGGGGCTAGACAGTGATAGGCAGGCCTAGGTTAGAGACTGTACCCACCAGCAGACCCTCTGCCAGCCCAGGCTTACTATCCCATTCCCAGCTCCTGCGGAGGGGAGGAGGGGCTCATTCTCACCTGGTGGGGCTGGCCACAGAGTTCCGTCGGCTCTTCAGATCCCCGTAAAGATCTGATGGGGGTGGTTTCCATGGGGTTCGCCGCTCAGGGCTCCCCCCGGATACTGCCCGCAGCTGGTCCCAAGCCTTGGGTGGTGAGGGGCGCTCGGCCAGAGAGAAACAGCCATGGGGCTCCTCTGAGTGGAAGAGAGCAAGTGGGATAGAATTCAATGAGGGGGGCCCAGAGGGGGCAGGACAGGCTCGTGGGCAAGGCCATGGGGAGGGGCAAAGTGCTGGGACAGGTTAAGCAGACTGAGGAGGAGCTAAGGCTGACGAGTAGGTTCTGGGGCTGTGGGGCTGGGGGTTGGGGTGGGGTGAGACTAAGAAGATGGGGGACCTACAGGAAGATGGAGCATGGCTAAGGAGAAGCTGAAGCAGCACAGGAGGGGCTGGGCATCAAAGGATGGGCTGATCATGCAGGATGTGGTCGGATGAATAAAGGGGATGGGCTGAGGGGACATAGGAGTCGGGGGCAGGTTTGGGGGACAGGAGTCCTCACCGTTGTCATGGCTGGCCCCAGACTCTGAGAGGGAGCTGCTCTCTGAGTGCAGAACTACGTCCTCTATAGGTGAGAGGGGGAGAAGTGGGCCTCTCACTCCCAGGCCTGGGTGCCGCCCCCTTACACCACTGGGTGGGCACCTCTACTTGGGCCACCTTCTGGCCAGTTTCCGCCTCATCCTGTTCCCTTCCCAAGAATCTGCTTTTACCAGAGCCCAAGACCACCCCAGCTTGGCTCCTGACTGTCCGGGCAGATATTCATCAGTCTCCCACAGTTTGTCCTTTCCGGTAAGCCAGTTTGTCACAACTCTTCTCACGGGTTGGGCCACTTGAGTTGTGCCTACCTCCCGGTTTTCACTGGCCACTCAGCCATCCCAGCCCTACCACGTTCATTTGCCAGTGTCCACTCTCCCACCCTCACCAGGGGATGCTCACCTTGGCTGAGCTGAGTGAGGCGCATGCCCAGGCAGACTCCCTGGGCGGTGATCACTGACCCCGTGGACAGTGGCAGTGGCTGGGGCAGCGGGAGCACTGGGAGGCCAAGGCGGGCCCGGACATCCCCGAGCTGCTCCTCTAGCTCGTGCAGCCTCCTCAGTGCGTCTGCCTGGACCTGGCGACGGCGCCGGCGCTGCTCGGTGCTCAGATCAGGGGCCAGGGCCAGGCGACGGGCAGCTGCCGCGATCTGCTGCTGCACTGACACCTCACGCTCCAGGGCCTCAAGAGCCAGCTCCTGTCAGGCCCACCCAAATGTTGGAAATGGCCAGGAACAGGGACCTGGCGGAGCCAAACCCACTAGAGGCTGGCCTGTACTTCCTGCAGCCTATTCAGGCCTATTCACCTACAGGTGGAGCTTATTCACCTGGGGGAGGGGGCGGGTCAGGGTGAAGGGCTGGGTCGATTCATCTTCCTGAGGGTGGGAGGCCTGTCCTGACAGTTAGGGACCAGCATCCTCCCTCATTGCAGGAACCTACCTCCAGAAGCCCTTTTCCTTCTCAGCTTAGCCTTTCCCTCACCTGGCCACAAGCTCCCTCACCTGGCCACAAGCCCCCTCCCCACACCTTCCTCCTGGCTACTCCTCTGTACCTGTCCCCTCTCCCCACCCTCTTGCTCTCCACACCCATCTGCTCACCTCAGCAGGGCACAAGGAGTGGTGTGCTTGGTTGGGGTGTGGTGGAGGGTAGGCACGGGCTGTGGGGGGCCGCCGGCGGACCAACTGGGGCCGTTCACCAGGCTCTAGTGGGCACTCAGGGGGCAGCTGGCCAGTCAGCTCCTGGTGGGAGGCAGGGGTCAGAGACTACCAAGGGTTAGTTGGAAGGATGGGGTGAAGCATTAATGATCCCAGAAGCCACAGAAGTCCTACCAGGAGCCTGGCCCGGCTCAGCACCCATGCATGATACTCCCCTCCCAGTATTTCCACCAGGCAGGTGTGCCCAAACTTCAGTGGCCCAAACCCCTGGGGTGGTGGGCATGGGAGGCAGGGAAACCTGCTTTGGAATCCAGAATTGTTTCATTTTTATAAAGGGGACACTATTGAGATCCTAAGTATTACATAACTCCCTTCAGGGGCTGTGGCTGCATGGTCTGAGCTATAGTATTATTTCTGGCACACTGTGGGCATTCACAGTAAGAGGGGTAAACTGAAACTACAGATCACCCTGTGCCAGTTCAGGTCAGACTGTGCTGCCAAATTTTAGACAGAACCTGTTTTCTGAAGTTTGTTGGATTTGAAATAGTCAACAGTGGGCCTGTATTACCATATTTCTTTTTTCTTTTTTTTTTTTTCTTTTTTTTTTTTGAGGTGGAGTTTCACTCTTGTTGCCCAGGCTGGCTGGAGTGCAATGGTGCAATCTCGGCTCATCACAACCTCCACCTCCCGGGTTTTCAGCAATTCTCCTGCCTCAGTGCCTCCCAAGTAGCTGGGATCACAGGCGTGAGCCACTACGCCCAGCTAATTTTGCTTTTTTTTTTTTGAGACAGTCTTGCTCTGTCGCCCAGGCTGGAGTGCAGTGGCATGATCTCAGCTCACTGCAAGCTCCACCTCCCAGGTTCAAGCCATTCTCCTGCCTCAGCCCCCCAAGTAGCTGGGACTACAGGTGCCCACTACCACACCCAGCTAATTTTTTGTATTTTTAGTAGAGACGGGGCTTCACCGTGTTAGCCAAGATGGTCTCAATCTCCTGACTTCGTGATCTGCCCGCCTTGGCCTCCCAAAGTGCTGGGATTACAGGCGTGAGCCACTGTGCCCAGACTAATTTTGCATTTTTAGTAGAGACAGGGTTTCTCCATATTGGTCAGGCTGGTCTCGAACTCCTGACCTCAGGTGATCCACCTGCCTCAGCCTCCCAAAGTGCTGGGATTACAGGTGTGAGCCACCGCACCCAGCCTCATATTTCATTCATTCTAACATATCTAAGCTGAGCTTTGAGGAGAAAGTGGGTGACAGGGAATCTACAGCCAAGACAAGTGATTGAGGAATTGCCACCCAAGTCTGTCTACCTAGGGCCCCCAGCTTCTCACCTCCTCCCAACCTCCCTGCCTGATAACCCTAGGGCCAGGCCCTCACCGCCTCCTGGAGACACACTTTGCGGAGCTCCTGAAGTTTCAGGTTCAGGGCCTCCTGCAGGGTCCGCTGCCGGTCAAGCAGCCCCCGCAGACGCTCTGACTTCACCTGGGGGGCAGCCTCTCCGAACAGGGCAGCTGGACACAGAGGGAGCAAAGATCAGTGGGACAGCCAGGGCATTCTGGAGCAGCTGTGGAGCAAGGGACTGACTCTTCCCGAGCAAGCAGGTGGTGATTCAGAGCAGGGGAGAGGGCAGCAGGAGGGGAAGGAGCCACTGACCTGGGGCATTGAAGGTAGGAGAGCTGATCAGCTGACCTTTGACTTCCATCTTGGTGCTGTAGAGAGGCCGTGGCTGACAGCTGGACAAAGTCTGGCAGTGACACACAGGAGCCATTAAGGAAGCACGTCCCATGATACCCCAACCCCCAGCCCTTCCCAGCTTCCCATGCCGCAGCGGGGAATAAGGGGTAACCTGGGCCCCACGTGCCTGCTTGACCTGCCCTTTCAGAATCCGTGTGGATGTCTGGACCCACTTGGCCCTGGTACCTTGGCCCTGGTTCCCTTCGCATTGAGTGGGAGCACAGCAAGTGGGGAGCTGGGCGGACTTACAATGCCTCCTCAGAGGCCCATGGGTCACAGCCACGAGTCTTGCCTGGGGAAGGAGAATTAATGGGACAGATTCAACCAACTATAACAACAATGGACATGCAGTCAACACCTGGGTGCCTGCAACAGTTACCTATGATGCCACACTAAATCTTCAGAGCCACCCGGAAAGATTCGTATTCCCATTTTAGAGATGAGGATAGGCAGGCACAGAGGTGAAATAACTGGCCCACAGCCACAGACATAACCCAGGCCCACCCCTCTGGTCCTACACTCTCACTCATGAGAACCGCTCTAACTCCACCAACTTCCTCATAAGCTCCCTGGTCCCTCAGGCCTCAGGGTCTTTGCCCAGGCTGTGGCTGCTGCCTGAAGTGCTTTCTTCAACCTCTCACCACCCCAGCCCCTGCATCACACTTATCATTCTAGAACTTAAATATCACTTCCACAGTTATATCCTCTCATAAACGGTTGTCCAACAAGAGATTGTGCCTCCTGGAACATCGACGAGGACAGGAAACATTATCTGTCCCATTTTCATCAGCATCACCAGCACCCTGAACACGGCTGTACACAGAAGTGCTCAATGAATGGGTGCCAGCTGAATGAGTAACAGACGGAGTAAACGAATGAGGAGGCAGTGGAGCCAGGGTTCAAGCGCAGATCTGTGGGTCTGTGCTTGTCCCAACTCCATTCTGTAGCTCTAGTGCAGCAAGGAGAATGTTCACTTGACCCAGGGTCCCTCCAGCTCCTCTCCCCATGACAGCCTGTCCTGAGCCTAGCGTAGGGAAGTCCTCCTGCTGGGATTTGTGAGAAGCAAAGTCCACAGCTGCAAATAACGAACCACCAGCCTCCTGCCTCCTTCTCTGCCCGATGGCTCAGCTGACCACGGAGCCTGCCTTGGCTGGCCACCCCTCCTCTGGAGTTTGCTCCCTCCCTTCCACATCATGCTCAGTCCCCAGCAGGGCAGCCGAGTCTTATCACCTCCCACCACCTGGCCTAACCTAGGTGGCAGGTGACTGAGAGGGCTTTATGGGGCCACAGAGTTCCCATTATCACCTACCTTGAAGTCGGTAGCTTGTCATGACATGTTAGCCTGGTGTGAGGAAGACCCAGCCAACCAAGGAGGCATGGGTTCAAGCCCCTTCCCCATCTGTATATTGTGGGGTGAGGTCAAGCTGCTTATAAAGTGTCATGTTTCTCTGCAGTCCTCCTACCTGCCTCATAGGGCATGTACCCCTCTCTTGAGGCAGTGGTGCCCTGCCTTCAACAGCAGGGGTGGGGATCAGTCCCTAAAGCCTTTTGACAAACCCAGGCCCCGGCAGAGGCATTCACATCCCCACTCATCATTTCCCAGCATGGCAGGGGTTCCTCGACATCCCAGCTCACTGGGGCTCCAACTTTCCCAGCCCCCATTTAGGCCCAAGGAACTCTCACAGGGTTCTCTGGAATCTTCCTCCACCCCCACAGGAACCCAACTCTGTCCATGGTTCCCCTTGCCAGCATTGGTCCCAATCCCATGCTGGGCTGCTTCAATTCTCTCTTTTTTTTTTTTTTTTGGAGACGGGTTCTGGCTCTGTTGCTTAGGCTGGAGTGCAGTGGCAAGATCTTGGCTCACTGCAGCCTCCACTTCCCAGGTTCAAGCAATTCTCCCACTTCAGCCTCCAGAGTAGCTGGGATTACAGGTGTACGCCACCATGCCTGGCTAATTTTGTATTTTTAGTAGAAACGGGGTTTTACCATGTTGGCCAGGCTGGTCTCAAACTCCTGACCTCAGGTGATCCACCCACCTCAGCCTCCCAAAGTGCTGGGATTACAGGCGTGAGGCACTGCACCCAGCCAATCCTTTCTTCTCTAGTTTCTCAGAGCGTCCTAGAAGTCCAGACAGGGTCCACACAGGAACCCCAACTCCTCCCTGTCAGCCCGACCTTGGGGGACATAGTTAGAGCATGAGTCATGGGGTCACTGGGCAGGCTAGACACAGTCAACGCCCCACACCCCCACACCCAGTTCCTAAGCCTCTGCCTCCGCTCACCTGCCCTCTGCATACTTGCCTTGGGGCCTCGTCCCCATCTAGATGGTGAGAAAGGGATCCCAGCAAACCCCTCCCCAGCACACCCCCACACCAACCCCAGGTCTCCCCGCACCAGTGACCCCATGGCCCCCATCCTATCCCAGGGATGAGCTGCATCAGGAGAGCAGCAGAGGGCACCCCCCACACCCAGAGGCGGGCCCGGCAGGTTTTTCAGGTCTGCCATTCTGACACCACAGCTGAGAAAGAAATTCCTGGCTGTAATGACTGTTTACAACCAAGATACCTCACCTGGGTGGCACCCCAACACTTGGGGGGGCATTTCCACATCCTGCCACTATTAGAGCAAATACAAACTCTCAATGTCTGGGCCATTCCCCTCCCCAGAGCCCCCGCTTCCTCCACTGTAGTGAACAAATCAGGCGTAGGCAGGCAGGTGCCCGAGTAATGGTTTCTTAGTAGCCCAGGCTGGTCTTTCTTGGGGAGCTGGGCCCTGGGTTGGGGGAGGACAGAGGCTACTCCTGGGGGAGGAAAGGAAGCAGGGATAGGGTGGAGAAGGGGGGACTCATACTTCTCTTTTCCCCGATTCCTCCTCATCCATTTCCGGCCAGGAATCAGCTCGGTGCCAGGAAAGGAAATTGGTGTTTTGGGCTTTGCCACTGTCCTCAGGCCCTCCATTCTCACTGCCCCCACACACCGCCCCCCCGCCCCCCGCCACCGTGCCCTGCATTGTTGGTGTGCCTCTTCCACAGACCTGGCTCTCTACCGAAGGGAACTTCAGTACACACTGCCCCAGCTCCCCAATGCCCTCATCCCCCTCGAACCCTGGGCCCACTGCTCCCAGGTGCTCACCAATGCCAGAGAGTGCTGTGGGGTAGCCTCAGATACCTCAAAAATAGTTGTCTCGACCAGGCCCTGGCTCCGGCTGGTAGTGGCAGTGAGCAGCAGTGGCAGATGCCTTGGCCACCTCCCACTAGGTAATGGCCCAGCCTACCTGGCCAGGAACTAGGCCGGCCCACACCTTTTAACCCTTGCCTGTCTGCCACCAGGACTAGGGTCACCCCTGGGGGCAGTTTCAGGGCCAGGTCCACTCAGGGTGCCCAGCATGTCTAAGACAGCCTGGGCCAGGCAGGGTAGCTGGTGCCTGTAATCTCAGCACTTTGGGAGGATCGCTTGAAGCCAAGAGTTCAAGGCCAGACTATGCAACATGGTGAGACCCCCCCATCTCTACAAAAAAAATTTTAAAAAACTGGCCAGGCATGGAGGCATGTGCCTCCTCACCCCGTACACTTAGCAGAAAACTGGGAAGAAGGGCTGAGAGTGGTGGGAGTAGCAGCTGCCTCTCCTACTGCCCAAATTCCCAGAGGATTAGACGCTGCCCACCCAAGGGACACCTTGGATTTGGGCCATAGAGGTGTAAAGTACATGGGAGGCTTCGGGTGTAAACTGGGTTTTTGTCTCTTGGCAATAAGCATCACATTCTGAGGCCCCTACCCTTTCCTCCCAGGGCAAGGCAGTGGTAGAAGGCCTTGGGGCAATTCCCACCCTCACTGGGGAATAGTTTCCCAAGTTGGGAACAGAGGAAGTCAACCTTTCTAAGGAGAGGCCAGGTCTCAAGATCCTTCTGTGGCTCCAGAAGAAATAATCTCAATAAATCAAGTACAACTTACGCCCTACAAAACACTTATGGGTTTTGACCCTTCTTGGTTCCTACAAATGTAGGAGGATGGCACAGACCCAGCCTCCTCACAGCCATTGTATAGATGTAGAAGCTGAGGCTTGGAAAGGTGAAGAGGCCCAATTCAGATCACAGTGGCAGAAGAGCAGGTGAAATCAGAATTTTCAGGGACTGGGTCCTGGCTGGGAGGCAGACAGAGGCTACTCCTGCTAGTGGGGAAGAGAAGTAGGGAAAGGGGCTCATGCTTCTTCACATCCATGCTGGGTCTCTCTTCTTCGGAGAGTTAGGCTTCATGCCAGAGAAGGAAATGAGAGCTTTGAGTCCCTACGATGTACTGTTCCCCGCCCACCACCACCACCACCACCTGGGCTCTGGGCCAGTCTCGGCACACAGCACACATCCTTTGCTCCCTTCAGGACCATCTGCTCTGTGACCTCAGGGCCCAAGCCCCACCCAGCCCCCTGCAGCAGCCCACACCATGACCTGAAGTGAGGAAAGCTGCAGATGGGCCAAGCCTAGAGAGGAGCTCACTCTGAATCAGCAATGCCCCAGACTCACACTATTAAGGCCTCCCGCTATCCCTGCCCACCTTTCTTCCTGGGTGTGAGATTTTCAGCATGGAACACAAAGGCCCCTTTCATGGCCCTCCCCCCTTCACTGCCTGGGGCTGGTGGAGGCGGGCAATGGTAAGGTGGGCATTGAGTGTCTGTGGGGAGTGTCCTCTCGGCCACAGCCTCTCCCACCTCTTGTGGGCCACCAAGGATGTTGGGAAGCGGGACAATAATAAAATCAGAGCCAAGAGGGATGAGAATCTGGCTGGCAATGTAGATTGTGTCTTAAAGCTTAGGTCTTCTCATCTGTAAAATGGGTAAAAGGTGGTTACAGAGACAATGGAGGCCAAGTAACTTTGAAAGGCATTTCAAAGTACAAGGAAACACACCATGTCATTAACGACTGTTACTAACAACAATTAATACACTCACACAGAGGTGGGCTGTTGTGGGGGTAACTGGGGGAGAGCAGGTAACCGGACCTCCTGGGCCAGGCAGACAAATGGGGCAGAGTCACTAGCACACATCATTGCCCTGGTCCATGACTTTTAACAGCCTCAAAGACGACCCAACCTCTAAGCCCCATCCCAGCTGGGTCCTGGGCCTCACGTGACCCTGGTATCACTAGTAAATGGTGAGTCTGGGATTCAACCCAGTTCTGCCACTTACTGGCTGTGTGACTGCTTGAACAAGTCACTTAACCTCTCTGTGCCTCTCTGTCAATTGGGAATGATTATAACAGTATGTACCTCACGAGGCTATTGTGAGCATTAAATCAGTTAATACATTTAAAGATTCTGCAGAACAGTGCCTGGGAAGAGCTCAGTTTATGTTGGCTGTCACACTTACAAGTATTCTTCCCCACAGGAAGTCAGGAATCAAGTAGATACATTCAGATACATTTTTTCCAGACAGAGCTAGTGTCCTTCAGTCTCACTTGATACATTTGAAACAGTTGTTTTTCCTCAGATAACTTGTCTGAACTCTTGCTATCCAAAATCAGAGACTAAATGTATTCAAACGCAATTTTTTTTTTTTTTTTTTTTGAGACGGAGTCTCGCCCTGTCAGGCTGGAGTGTAATGGCATGATCTCGGCTCACTGCAACCTCCATCTCCCGGGTTCAAGCAGTTCCCTGCTTTAGCCTCGCGTGTAGCTGGGATTACAGGAGCCTGCCACCACACCCGGCTAATTTTTGTATTTTTAGTAGAGGTGGGGTTTCACCATCTTGGCCAGGCTAGGCTCGAACTCCTGACCTTGTGATCCACCAGCCTCAGCCTCCCAAAGTGCTGGGATTACAGGCGTGAGCCACTGCCCCCAGCCTCAGATCCATTTTTGAGACAGAACTAGTATCCCTCAGCTTCCAAATCCTACTTGCTAACTAGACACGGTACCCTTCCTGCTCACCAAATGAGACATATTTGAAACAGAGCTGTTTTCCCTCATGATTCAACCTGTCCTTTCTCAACATAAAAAATGCAGGAACCAAATACATTCAGAGAAACTGTCTGAACTCTCACCATACAAATGCAAGAACTGAATGGATTTAGAAACATTTTTGAGATACGACTGGTATCCCTCATTCTTGAACTTTCGTTACTCTCCAGGCAAAATGCAGGAACCTTTACATAACAGGGTACCCTCACTATCCCAACTCTTGTCCCTGGAGCTCAGGAAAGTTCATAGATTTGGATATATTTTTGAGTTAAAGTCATTATTCTTCATTATCTCAATTTTCCCCACTCACTATGTAAGATGTGAAAACAAAATACCTTCAGATAACTTGGTAGGTTTCACTGTCTGAACTTTGGGCGCTCTCCCTCTCAGAATTCAGGTACCAAATAGATTGGGACAGTGAGGAATGCTTGTGTTGTTATCAATAGGTTTGGATAGATATTCAGGATAAATAAGATAGGTCTGGCATCTTGTTATTCAAACTCACTAGTCTCTGTGAGAAATGCAGGAACGAAACCTAATTGAGTAACACATTACCCTCTAGCCATCCAAGTTCTCCCCATCACCCTCAGAATCAAGGAGATTCGGACAATGAGGGGAACCCTGCATTATTGTTGTTACTGTTACTACTGGACAGGCCTGATTCTTACATCCAGTGACTGCCTGGCCTTCTCTCCCACAGACAAGCCCCACAGAGGTGGGGTGGACTTAGCACCAAGATTTTTATTGCTTACTGCTGAGAGGAGGAGGATGAATCCTTGACCCCATCCCTCCTCTATACCAAGTCCTGAAGCCTTGGCCTAGAATAGACTTCTTCTCTTTCAGGCCAGGAAAACAGGGATCATGCACCCAGAATCAAGACCAGGGAATAGGGGTAACATGGCCTAGAAGATTCATACATACCCCAGCATCCCCCATCTCTTCATATTTTCTCAACTCTTCCCCACAACGTGAGGCAGTCCCCAACACAGCAAGGCTGGAAACATGACCCAGACCTCTCAGACTCCCAGAGAGTCACTGAATAATTTAGGGTATTCTTTCACACTTGCAGAGGGCAGCAGCGTAGAACAGTTGCATGCCCTCCTGGGGCAGGAAGAGAAATGTAAGCTCTATGTGAGATCACTAGGGTGGGGGTAGGGGAGATCACACACAAAAACCCCCATCAGCCACGCAGGGTGCATAGGGCTGCTTGCTCTTGCTAAGAGAAGCATTTGGGACGTACTTCAGAGGTCCTGGTAACAGCAGAATCTTCAAGTTCCGGGCACAGTATAATGGGACCCCTGTCCTGGGCTCAGAAGGGATGGCAAGTGGATATTAGGAAAGAAGAAGATCTGAACAGGGTGGAGGGGCATGGTAAGGGGGAGAACAGCCTGGGGCTGGGATGGGAAGGGACAGAACAAGAAGGAGCGTAGGGGACAAGATAGAACCAGTGTTATTGCAGGATGGAGGTCAAGAGGCAGGATGGGGAATGAGCCAGGACACTGGCCAGGGGATGGGATAAGGTAGGGTTCAGGACAAGGGTCAGAGAAAAAGTACAAGAAAGAGACAAAACAGCAGGGCAGACATGACTAGGAAAGGCTAAGCCAGTGGTCAAATGAGGGGACAGGGAAAAGGGCAGGTTCAGGATGGAGGTCAGGAACAGGAAAAGACCAGGACACAATGAGGATAGGAATGAGTATGGTGATAGAAAAGAGGGGGGGGGGGGGAGGGGGGGGGGGATACAGGAGGAGACCAGGAAACTAAAATCAAAAATAGGGGTGGTGAGTAGACAGGAGGCAGAGAAGGGGAACAGGGGAGCAGGAGCGAGGGGAGATCAGGGAACAGGAGACCGAAAAAAAAAAAAAAAAAAAAAAAAAAAAAAAAGAGGGAAAAAACAGAGTCAGGGGCAGGGACAAGGCAGGAGACGGGGGTATTTAAAGGTGGTGAGCCAGGATGCAGATCACGAATATATAGGAGAGGATATCATATAGGGTGCAGAGAAAGGACAGAAGTTAGAGGGCAGGAATCAGGACAGAACTAGATCAGACTGGGGTTAGGGGGACAGGACATGACTGGTAGAGGTTCAGAGACTGGATAAGAGTTTAGGGAACAGACAAGTCAAGGGTCAGGACAGAAACCGGGGTCAGTGTTGGGCATTAGGATAGGGCAAGATGTTTCAGAGATGAGACGGGGTCGGGCAAAGATCAGGGTCAGGTCAAAGATCCCCAGGACAGAACTGAATGGGGTCTAGGGTCAGGACTGGATTTAGGGGGAACAAAACAGGGGTTGAGGATCATACCAGGCCAGAATATGGTTAGGTCAGGGCTCTGACGTAAGGTACTGAGGCCAAGGCCAACAGGGGTTGAGGTTTAAAAAAGATGTAGTCAGGTCGGAAGGGGTCAGGGCTGAGGCCACGGGGTCAGAGGTCGCGGGTGCGCGCGCAGGTACGCCCCGTCGGCGTTTCCAGGCCTTCACCCCACCCTGTCCCCTCCCTTCCTCCGCAGGCGGGGCTGGTTACTCACCAAGGGTCCCAGCGCAGCGGTAGGCGGGGTCGGTGTCGGCCGGCCAGGGTAGTGGGCGCGCCCCTCCCTCACTGCGCCCTGCTCGTCCCCGGGCGCGCGTCTGCTCCCCTTCCGCGCCCTGCCCGTGGGCCGTGTTTGGCTGCGCGACCGTTAGCCGTGGGGACCAAACGGGGGTCGCGGGGAGGGTGGGAGGGGAGTGCCGGCCCGGCCGCGGGCGACGGACCCCCGCCCCCACCTCTAACTCGGGTCTGTCGGCTTCCAGCGGCACGGCCACCTCCGCCGCTCAGCCGAGCCTAGGGGGTGGGGGGACCAGGGGGCGGGGCGCGAGACCACAGCAGCGGCGGAGACGAAGTGCGCAGGCGCCGGCTCGGGTCTTGGATTTTTCTTGCTCCGGGAGCGCCAGGAGCGAACAAGCTGGGAGCGCGTGCGCACACTCTTTCTCGAGGGCGGTGGAGCCCTCCCTCGCCGAGGCCACGCCCCCTCAGGGAGCCTACTGGCGCCCCTCACCCCAAGTCGTCCCCTAGGGACCCGCAAGCAGTACTCCAAGCTGCTCTCTGTAAGTTATCCCCACACCTCTAAACCCCAGCTACCCTCCCTATTGTCCCTCAAATGCACTCCAAACCAACCTCCATTATCCTCCAAATTATATCCCCAAACTACTGTCTGTTGATTCCAAGCGGTACCTCCAGTCCACCCTCTATGGACACCCAAGCTGTAGCAGTAAACTACCTTACACTACCCCCAGTTTGCTCCACCAAACCATCTGCAATCAGCCCTGAAACCATTACCCTCCAAACATAATGTCCAAATCACCTGCTATCTACTTCCAATG